CATATTGTAACTAACAAAGCTAGTGAGATTAACAACCTCACTAGAAGTGTTGGGAACACAAGTAGGTTCTTTATTCTCTTGCAATGCTACTAGAGGGAGGCTTGTATATCACCTCTACGAATTGATGCTTTATTTTATTCACCAAGGGAAAGTCACCACTTACTACAAGCCTCTACACTTGGAGTCCTAACGGCTACGGAATAGCGATAGTTCTTTGGAGTAGTGGGGGCATAAAAGAAAGCAGGAGAACCACGAACGAAAATAGGCTCAAATCATCTTCACCACAACTACTTCCAAGATGTTCCAAAGCGTTGTACGATAATCCATTGGAAGTTGGCTAATCCTCGAGGCCAGAACACCATAGGCTCTTTGATGATGACCGCATCAGCCATCATGGACACACTTGGTGAGCGGTAGAAGGAATTTAAAGAATGTCAAACGTTGATCTATAGTTCACTCGCCTCTTGATATGAATAGGCAAACCAAGGTGAGGGGCAGACGAAAACACTCGCCAATGACTAGTTTTTTTTTGCCTCTCCACTCTCCCCCTCCCTTCATCGAATTTAAAACTCGTAAATGGGTTGTTTTCATGTTTCTTTTTGGTATCTAATCATGGTTTCCTTCTTTTAATTTTTCATAGATTGGATAAGGGAAGCCAGGTTCCACTATCAAAATAACAACGGAACAAAAATTATGTGGCCCAAACCTAATCATGTTTTTTCCTAGATCTCTTAGTTAATAGTCATTTAGGCCCTCAATACGAGAAACTATCGATTTCTACAACATGATCAACGATCTAAAGCCCCCGAACACTGTATACCGCTTATTAAGGGGAATAAATATCAAATCGCCCGAGCGCATCCCCACATGGCCCGGGATGACAACACTCCTTTCTTCTTCATTTTTTCAGCTTTCTTTATTTTCTCAGTTCTCTTGGGTAAACTGCGAATGCTTTGTGTGATATACATGAACACTTTTTTTGAACATGTGAATATTCTATTTTCACAACATGAACATATATTCGAGATGTATGAACCTTTGTTTTATACACAATATATATTTAATAAGAAGCGGACATTTAATTTTATATGTGCAAACTGATTTTTCTTATCTTGCAACACATTAACACCTTTTTCACTTCAAAGTACATCAATACTTCCTAAAATTAATGAAGATTTTATACAAACCTGCTTTTCTACAACACCTATTTTTTTTACTTTGCTTTTTCAGCTAGACATACAGAAGTAGTGAAATACAAAATTAAAATTATGTGGTGTGCCTATTTCTTTATTGGGTCGCATCTAAACGAGCACATTTAAGAACCACTGGGGAAAATCCTATTCTACACATAAAAGGCGCACACTTGCAACGCCGCATGGGCCTGCCCAAGTAGCAATATTTTTCCTCTGGGTTTTTCAGTGTGGTGATTCTTATGTCACTTTTTTATTTTCTAATTTATTTCTTTTATCCATTATTAGGTTTTTTTGTCGAGAGTTTTTAAATTTTGCTCACTTATCCCATGTTATTCTTTTGAAAGTTGTGACTATTTTTAGATTTGTTTAATGTTCTTAAATGTCAAAAACAATTAAGAGGAATTTTATTATTCATGATTTTTTAAAGAAATCTTGAATAATTTTTAGTATTCAAGAATTTTCAAATTCATGATCATTCTTAAATTTTGTGAATATCTTTTCAAACACATACTTTTTCTTGATTGTAAAATTCTAAGTTTTTTAAAAAGGGAATAAAACCTACATGGGCTGGTCCACACAATTGTACGAAGTCTCAATCCATTGTTCGATTCACAGTACTTTTTCAGACAAGACATGCGTAAAAATTTGGTGTTTCCTATTTGGGAAAATTTTGTTTTTACCACTCTAGATTTTGCCAATTTTTCTTATGCCACTCTAGATTTTAACATTTCACTTTTCCCACTCTTAGTTTTTTGACAATTATCACAATTGCCACTCCCGTGGCAAAAGCAAAATTTTCAGAGTGGCAATTGTGATAATTGTCAAAAGCTAAGAGTGGCAAAAATGAAATGAAATTATTTTTCTTTTGCCACAGAATGACAATTGTGATAATTGTCAAAAGCTAAGAGTGGCAGAAGTGAAATGTTAAAATCTAGAGTGGCATAAGAAAAATGAGCAAATCTAGAGTGGCAACAACAAAAATTTCCCTTCCTATTTGTCACTTGCCGCGGCGAATTGTCGACCAATGGGCATGGGAAAAGGAGCGCCCGAGCAGGAGATGGGCCAGCCCAGTTAGCAAATATTTGTTTACGGTTTTGCGAGCGTTCCAGTTTTGGTTTTCCGGTTTTAAGAAACTTCTAGGATGTTTGGTGCGGCTCAATTCTAGTTTTTTGTTGTTGTTTCTTTTCTAATATTCTCTAATTTTAGTTTCATTTTTCATTTCATTTTATATTGTTTCGAATTTTGTTTGTAATTCTAAAAATATGAAGTTTTCACCGGTCTTCAGTTTTCAACCGAGAAGAAATATGACGTCTGAAAAATATGAAGTTTTCACAATTTCTCCAAAACATTTAGAAGCAAAAAAAATCGACGTTTCAGGTTTCCACCGGTCTTTCTTACCTTCTGGAACAAAAATATATTCGAAAATTGTTTTTACGCGAAAAATGCGTTTTCTTTTTTTTCTTCCACGAGAGTCACTGTTTTGCTTCCGCGAGAGTCATGCCCGCTCTTCTCAGAAATGAAAAAAACGTGTTTTCTAAATTTTTTTCTTCCGCGAGAGGCACGGTTTTGCTTTCGCGAGAGTCATGGCCGTGTCTCCGAAACGAAAAAAAATACATTTTCTGTTTTTTTGGACGCATGGTTTAAGAGATAAAATATTTTGAATAAACAGAACTACGAAAAAAAGAAAAACTCTCATGTTGCGACAAGTGGCGCACATGCAGCGCGTTACTTGTTAGAAGATCCCTGAAATATTTGACGGAGTAGTACTTGACATCCAGTAGAGAGTCAACGGTCCAGCCGCTTCTTGTTTTTGAAAGGGAAGCATTTGGGAACGGCGCACCTGCCGAACGCTCAGTCGGTCACGCGTCCACATACGCGTCACGCGGTCAAAGGGCCCGCACGCAGACTCCCTCCTATTCTTCTCCTTCCTTCTTTTTTCTTCTTCCTTCCTCGCTCCTTCTCTGCTTCTTTTCTCAGGCCCCCGTCATGGTCTACCATCGCTGTCCCAGGGCGCCACGACCACGGGAATCAGCCGATCCGTCCGCCCTCGGCCAGGTCTACACGGATCCGTGCCACCCGAGCTCTGCTTGCCTCGCCGGACCTGGCCACGCCGAAGCTACAACCGACCATGCCATAGCTGCAAACGTTGAAGCTTTTTCCATACCCGCTTGTAGCTCTCGTCAACGCTCGTTGCAGCTTTTGCCGTCGCCCCGTAGCTCTCATCACCGCTCGTTTTTGAAAGTTTCATGGCGGAAGCTTTTTCCACACCGATTGAAGCTTTTTTCCACACCGGTTGAAGCTTTTCTGCCATGGTTGAAGCCTTTTCCCATTCCGATCAAAATATTTTTTTACACTGGTTGAAGCTTTTCTTGACGCCGGTTGAAGCATTTTTTCATGTCTAAAGCTTTTTCTTCTAAGCCGGCTGTAGCTTTTTTCATGGTTGAAGCTTTTTCCGATGCCATTTGAAGCTTTTTTTTCAAGCGGTTG